TGTTTTTCCCCTTAACCATTTACTCTTTATACCTTTTTACAGACTGTGCCACGCTACCCCCACCCTATTAGTCACTCATACACTAAATAGCCAGCCTTAAATTTACAGTCTTTTTCTACACCATTTTGAGCACCGCCCTGGTCACAGCAGCCTTTTGCTGCTGTTGGCTTTCCTTAGTATAGACATCAGGCTCTCTAAGGCCCCATGAATATCTTTAGCTTGACAGTGGTGGATTTCAAATTTTTGTTAAAAAAAAATGCCTGTTCTGGTAAGAAACCCCCCTTTACACACTTTCTATCCATTTTTCAAGAATTACCATTACTTCATTAAGATATGGCCTGGTGATGCTAATGTCCATAAATAAGTCAAAATCCAACGAACAGATGCAAGTGAAGTTGTTCAGAAACAAGAATCTGGATATACTGAAGGGGAACCAGCCAAAAAGAAAGCAGGTTATAATAATGGAGGCAAATGATCAAGTTATGTGCACGGTTTTCACTTACAGTAATACAAGAGGGGGGAAAATTTTAAAGAAGATAGAAATAAAGAGCTGACAATATTTGGTAACACAGCCTGGGGGATACTGGAAGCCATGGAATAAGTTCTAAGTGGTACACATATTACACAGCTGTAAGTTTTGATGAGTAAGAGGACAGTAGAATTATTAGAGGGACAGACCGATCAGAAAAATATCAGGTGTAGAGAGACATGGTAAGAATCTGAAGCAGCATCTGGTTACTCAAAAAGAGATACATGAGAGGTCAAAAGATACAACAGATTTAAATTTGGAAGCTGTCGGCACTGGGGTTAAAGTTCACAGTATACGACAGAGAGCAGGGGTATACTGACAGGGAACATAACATGCAGAGAAGTAAGAAAGGACAAGCAGGTATTGAAAGCACCAGAGGAAATAGATTCCAAGAGGATGTAGGGGTAAAGCCGTTGAAAACAAACATTAAGATGGATAACCCCAGAAAAGATGCAAAATGAGAAAGATTGGAAAGAGAGAGACAGAGAGAAATAGAATGTATGAGAGAGGGCATGAGAAAGAAACAGGGTTTGAGTTTTTGTGACCTGCTTTGCTTATATATATATATATATATATATATCACAGCTCAACAACGTGAAAAAAAAATCATATAAAGCTCTCTGAATGCTCAGAAATGGTTGTTTCTTGCAAAACTTATGAAAGTGTGGATTCAAACTTGTCAAAAAAAAACAAATGTATCAGAACAACTCAATTCTTAACGCTGTTGTTTTTTACTTCATTTTATTAAAGGAGCATGCTGTGGGGAAGGTGAATGCTTCTGTTCAGGTCCCAGAACAATGTGTTGCCCCTGGCCTTATCACCATGTTATTCTGACTTTTAGAGACTTGGCAGTACGTGCTTGGTATGAGCCTCAGATCAAGGCCAGAACAGAACAAGGAGTTGTTCACTCCTATTTTACCAAGGTCAACTTTTAATTCTCATGCCTGTTTCTGAGACAGAGATGAGATTATACAATACAGAGAGCAAAATATCTGGGCCCTCCCCCTTACAAAAGTTGCCACAGTCCTTTTCCATCACTCTCAAAGGGACACACTAGGGCCAGTCTGCTGATCCTATTGGAAGTCTTTTGTCAGAAGCATCTCACAGACACAATTCCCCATTGCTACTAGAGATACACTGAAAACTACACATACTGCTAGGACACGAAGCCACTGAGTTTGCAACTCCCATTAACAAAGCTACATCTACACATGGCTAATAAACTGACAGCTACATGCAACCAGAAGAGCAATGAAATGTCACTTCTTGGTCCCCTTTTAGGTTTCACACTGACAACATGCAAGTCCACCAGTCAGTCTCCCAGGATTAAACTGATCCAAAACAGGACAACTATAAACCAACTACAGTGTGAAAAGTTTTTAATTGACTGTCCATATTCTTTTTCATATTGGTTCTTATAGGCCTTCCTGAACCTTTTAGGCTAAGTACAGATAGTTAAAAAAGTCTGAGGCTGAATTGATTCAGTCTTTGCAGGTTAGTC